GGGGTATACCAATATACCTATACAGGTGAGAGTCTGAGAGGCTGAGGAAGGGGAAAAACCAAAAAAGATCTTTGAGCTATATCCATAACTAGAAATAGCAACTGTCAGTGGAAGAAAAGACTGCAGAATTAAGAGGTCAACTAGTGTCTTGACCCAGCCCTCAACAGGGTTCTGGATCTTTATTACCAAAATGCACAAGTTAAAGAGTATTTTTCCCAGGTATCATTTTGGATAAACACAGCGGGTAGAGGAACTCTTAACACAAAAGATCAGCTTCCAGGTCGCTGACTCAGTTTAGGATAGTCAGTTTGTTTGTAGCTCAAAAGGGAGAATTCAGGTGTGGTGGCCCAGGTGGGCCAGGGAAATAATGGGTGAGAAATCAGCACAATACTGGACTGAGAACATTTTGCAAGGAGAGTTACACATTATCTCCAGCAGCAGAGCAGGGAAAATGTCATGGGGTGAAGGGCCAGGGGAAGTCCAGGACAGACTTGAGGGAAGGGAGAAATCATGGCCTCTTCCTAGAAGGGGAGAGGGCAACAAGGCCTCCACCCCTTCTGTCTTGCCGGAAGAACTAGGGAAAGGAGCTAGACAGAAAGAATGGAGGGCCGCAGGGTGGAGTCCATGGGGTGAACTTAGGTCAAGCCTTTCACCCTAATGTGCCTCAGTTCTCTCCCAGCTGTTAAACAGGGCTCTTGGTTCTTCCCAGGCAGTTAATGAGTGTTTACAAAAGGGACTTGGAGATCCTCAGATCTCAGCTGGGCCACCACTACAGTTATAAAGCTCAATAAGGGCTGAGTGTTACTTGGGGAGGGGAGGAGCAGGGGAAGAGGGAAACAGACTACTCTCTTACAAACTAAGGATGAAACCAAGCTCAGAGAGCAGCACAGGCCCAGCTGCCACAGGATATCCTTGTGCCCATGGATGGAGGTCACACTCCACCCCCCCACCCGGCACCTCTAACCACCACCAAAGGCTGGCCTCCAGCTAGCTGTAGGCAGAACCCAGACAAGCAGCTGGTCTTCATTAACTCCAGCTTTTTCACCCCCCACTGTGAACCCACAGCTTCTACAGGCCTTGGCTACAAGGGCTGCCCTAGCCCGACCTTGCAGCTGACACTGGGGTAGGGGGCACCTCACCAAAGGCCAACTTACCAGCTCTAAAGTAAGTGGAAGCAAGGCTCCTTTTTCCCATTGGGAGCAAGGAGAGAAAGAAAGGAGTGTGGGGGTGAGAGGGTGGAGGTGGGGGAATTTAGGGCAAACAGCAGGCAGTGAAGTCAGCTGGATTGAGGCCCAGAAACCCCCACACCCTGGGGCCAAGTCTTACTCTAGCTTTGCTTTCAGCTTGAGTCTTGGCTAGGCCCCAAACTAGGGAAGGTCCTGGCTGCCCCTTTCTGCCTCCCTACCCCCACCCTTATTAAATACACATTTTATCTCTCAGCATCTTCATTATCTTAACTGAAGGAGACAAGTAGTGGATGGCGGCAGTAGAGAGCGTCAGGAGGGGGGGGCGGGTGTGGGGAGCAGGCGCACCCTTGTTATAAAGTGCTGATCTAGCTCTTTCAGGCAGTGTGGGAAACAGAGGAGGGATCAAAGGGAGTGAGGCTGATTCAGAACTCAATTAGAGCTTTTTAAAAAACGGAGCTGCCTCTCCTTTTGCCAGTCTTCAGCCTTTACCCAGGCCCCTTGCACCCAATTAGCTTCTACTGCCAGTGCCTTGGGGCTGGGGCTGGAAATCAAGGGGAGGCCAGAGGAGTACACCTTCTCCCCCTACAGAATGTACTTCTAAGAGGAAGACCTGCTGTGTTTGCAGCTCAAGAGAATGTGTCTTAGAGGGTGTCCTGACTTTTCAAGAGGAACCTGAGATCACTACTTTCCCCAAATGTTAAAAAGTAGGACATCAAAAGTGGGTTCCTTCCTAGGTCCTTGCCAACTATAGGCAGTTTCTGGTCAATATCTAGGGACACTTGGTAACAGGCACACCTCTTCCCAGCCCGAAGGTAAGCCTTGTCCCATAGCCAAAGTTTCCCTCAAGCAACAAGCAGCATAGAGGCTGTCTCAAGTAAAATACAACTACATCAGAGGAGTGACTGGAATGCATCTGTGAGGCCAATAAATGCTCCAGAACTATGCCAAGACACATTTTGTAGGTGAAGTACCCTTCTTTTGCAGGGGCCTGCTCTACCTCTGTACAAAAGCACCAACAATGTTTACCTTCAGCTGAGAACTATCAAGATGGTAAAGACAGCATCTTACTTGGTTCATTTATCATTGAACAATTGTTAAATACTTAGCAGGAGGGCTGGGGATATAGCTTGGTAGAGTGCTTGCCTCACACATGCCCAAGGCCCTGGGTTTAATCCCCACTGCGCGAGCGCGCACACACACACCCCCTACTAGGCACCAGGCACTGACTGTGAGGATAAATACAAATGTAAATGACATCTCAATCTTGGGCCTAGGCATGTAGTTCATTGGTAGAGTGCTTGCCTAGCATGCATGGCATGAGACCTAAGTTCCATCCCCAACACCAGAAAACAAAAACAAAACCTCTTAAATCTTGGACTTCTTTTCCTCCCATAGTAATCAACATAATACTTCTCAAAAAAAAATTTTTTTTTTCAGTGCTAGGGATCAAATCCAGAGCTTCATGTACGCTAAGCAAGTGCTCTATCATTGAGCTACATTTCCACTCCTAGATATTTTTAAAAAATATGGTTTAAGCCATATCTTATTTCCACTTCCAGGCCATACTGGGGCTTGAATCCAGGGCCTCATACATGCAAGGCAAACACTCTACTATTGAGTTACATCCCTAGCCCTTTTTATTTTGAAACAAAGTCTTTCACTTATTTCCTAGGCTGATCCCAAACTTTTGATCCTTTTAGCTTCCTGAGTAGCTGGGATTACAGGTGTGTAATACATACCCAGCTAGCTCACTTCCCAGTTCTTATTGGTGCATCTTAAAAGGGTTTTTAAAGGTAGGGAGTAATGAGGGAGGAGGGTTGGAGAAAATAGGGCTCTACCAACTTTCCTGATCTCTGGGTAGCCTGGACCTCACACACTCTTGCAGTTAGCTAGCCACAGATGAGTCTTCATTGAGCCAGAAATGTCAGTGGCAGCTCTGGGGTTGAAACTCACACCAACATTATTGTGTCTGTTTTTTTTTCTTTCCATGGCAATACCCAACACTATGGAAGCTTATCTACTTATTAAAAAAAAAAAAAAAAAAAAAAAAAAAAAAAGAAAAAAGCAAACCCCCCACCCCAGCATCTTAAAAAAAAAAAAAAAAAAAAAAGTAGGTCAGCATCTTTGCCACTACTCCATATGAAGTAGCCTAATATCTTGGCAAAAACTACTAACCACAGGCCCATCCCATCCCACTAAAATTCCTACCACCTTCCTGTAGCTCTCAGCTTCAGTGAGAAAAAACAGCAAGGAAAGAGTTTTCTTCCTTTTCTTCTCTGGCTGTCTGAATTACACTTAAGACTTTACTGACAAACATATATCAGCCTTTGCTCCCACAAGGGCAGCGGAAGCCAAGCAGGGACTTCAATGATGCTTCACGCATCATTGACAGAACCAACCCTGTTCCAATTGCTGAAGTCTTAAGAGCAGCAATGACCTAGAAATTGACAGTGGGGGGAGAACCGAAGGAAAGGAAACTAACAAACCAGTCCACAGAAAGCCCTATTTCCAAATACCAGGGGAAGGAGAGAAAGGAGGGAGAGGGGAAAAGAAATTTGGCCCTTTTGAATCCGTAAATGTGATCTTGGATGGAAGCCAGGGAGGAGACATAGCAGCCCCACTGCGAGTCAAGCCATGTTCCTGACTCAAGCTCTACAGTTAAGAGGAAGGCGCCAAGCCTCAAACACAACGAGGTGGGGAGGCCGCTCCTTTCTGGGCAGGATCCTACTGTGGACACAGAACAGACAGCTGCCCACAGTGTGGAAACAAACTGTAAAGCAGTCACGTCTCTTAAGGCTGCAGCATCCAATAAAATGTAATTTAAATCAAGCCTCGCATCTGTTCTCAATCCCATTCAGTCTCTGCTTTCCATCAGCCTTCGGACAATCTTTGCAATTATGCTTGTTAACCCTTATAGCCCCAGATGCCTTCCAATCTTTTCAATATAGAACTGTGTACCCCATTTGCAAAATTGCCCTCTGAGTGCATTAATGCTCTAATATAGTGTAAGAACAACATCCAGCCCTGTGTCCACAGATTCTCCCCTGCTACACATCAGTGGGTAGTGTTCATTTCAGAGTCCTCTCTGCTTGCCTTTCTTCTATCCCATACCACCTGCTGTAGTGCAGATCACTTTACAAAGATACAGTGGGCAGAATGAATGAAACAGTGGCCAACAGATCATTTATACACATATCAAGTTCCCAAACCCAAGGCCCTATCAGAAAAGCAGGAGGCAACTGAAGAGCTCATGGAGAAGCAGAGTCTTGGTGCTGGCTCTCAGATCATTCATATCACACACGGTTTATATCTCAAGCATTTATTTGCTCAAGTAATACAAACAATCTTCCAAACAAATCAAACCTAAGTACCTTTCCACCCCTTCCCTCAAAACCACCCCAGCCCCAAACCTACACTTTAAGTAGTGTTGTAATGGTGCCCTCTGGTGTTCCTGTCATAAACTGCCATTTAATGCTACTAGAAACCAAACTCAGAGGAGTCTTAGGTAACCATAAGGATTAATTCATCTAATAAGACTGGAAAAACATGTGTTCAGATGAAAATCCAACCCTAGTGGCAGCATCTTGAACCAATGGCTTAGAGTTGAGGGCAGCAAAGACTGGAAATGTTTGGTAAGGAATTTTCACATTGCTTTCTGAAAGCCTGGGGTCTCTTAAAATATGAATGCTTAAAAAGACAAATACAGGGCTGGGGATATAGCTCAGTTGGTAGAGTGCTTGCCTTGCACGCACGAGGCCCTAGGTTCAATCCTCAGCACCACACACACACACACACACAAAAGACAAATACAACTTGAAAATAAATAAATATATTCACAATCTGTAAAGTTACATTCTTCTAACTACCCCCACAAGGTTAGGAGTATCCAAAAAACTCTGATGACCGTCTTTAAAATGTCACAATGTGGTAATTCAGCACCATGAACATAGTAGTTCTCCATAAAGAAATGAAATGTCCTTCAAATCTCCATGTAGACTTTTTTTTTCCTCATTCTTTTTCATTCTTCTTACCCTAACCTCCGAGTTCTTAAGAAAATATACCAATGTTTGAGGAAACTTAGAGGTAAAGATTTACACATTCCACAATATAATTCTGTATACTTGCAAACTTGCTGGTTATAGACACACAAGTGGGAGAGGCAGTTAATTTAATTTAAAAAGGGTTTACTTATTCATTTATGTTTAAAAATAAGACCCATAGATATTATTCTGTGCTAATATTCATGAATCTATAGATTAAAATTCCTTGCTGTTGAGTAAAAAAAAGTCATATTTGGTTTTGGAGCAAATGTATAAAGTACTAAAATGAAGACTCCATAGCTCTCTAAATGCCAGCTGAATACTTTTGGGTGGATGTGAGAGAAGAATTTAAGACAATCCAGTAGCTAAGATATTTCCAATTAAAGCTCTGTCTTTCAGAGCATGCTCTATTTCCTTCTCATCAATCTTCAAAGACACCTGAAAAGAGAAAAGGATTTTGCATGGTGAAGAACTCGTAAAAGCCAAGTTGCTACCACACTAACTTCTACCATATTAAACTTCTCTCGCTAGAGGCAAGCAATTTTAAATACTGCTTTTTACAATGGCCTGGGAGGTTGGGGGGAATCTCATTCATATCACACTCCTATTCTCAAACACCTTAAATCTTAACTTTAAAAAAATTGCTTATCTAATTATTGCCATGTAAACAGTACAATTAAAAGCACTGTCACAAAGAAGCAGTTGGTCATACCTTTGTAAATCGGGTTTCCTTGTTTTTCTTTAATCCTAAAACTCCCCTGGATTCTAAGAGCCCTGAAAGTGACAAACACTCTGACTGGTCCACAGCTGCCATCTGCTGTTTACGACAGACGTTACTGTAGGCTTCATATAACTGGGAGGAAAAAGAGGGAGAATTGTTACTTAAAAGTCACCATCCTTGAATAAGCATTCAGTAGATATTCCCAAAACCCTATACTGTAATGTAGGAAGAGGAATTTAAATAACTTCGTAGAGAGATGAAGAAATATCAGGGAGGATAGGGTAGTGATTAATGGTTAAAGCTTAAGCACATCCCAAGGGAAATTGAGTCAGTTGCCTTTTATACAGTACCAATATTAATTCTTACTGTTAAAACACTTAATTCATACCAGTTGGAACATGATAAGCCTTTGGAAAATACCTGTGCTGCAAAGCAGATTCTCATCTCTACCTCAGCTTCTTTTGCTGAGATTCCCAACTTACCTTCCCCAGAGTGACTTCTTTGATTTTCAACTGCCTGGTCAAAAGCAGCAAAGAGCAGACCAAGATCTTCTGTTGGAGAGGGAAGGAATCCTGTGCTCCTTCTCGACCCAAAGTCATCCTGTTACCATCAACTTCTGAAATAACTTGGGATATGTGAGTAAGACCAACACGCTTGGGAACCAGAGACTCAGAGGATGATTTACCTACAAAGTAAATAATAATGTTTTAGCTAAAGGAAACCCATGCCAGTCACATGATGGCAAAGCAAAGTTTCCAACTCTAACTAGACGCCAAAGGATAAAAGACAATATCTTCAGAAAGATGCCAAATAAATGTGGGAAGACTTGGGAAGTAGAGTTATTTAAGTGATATTCAGTCCTACAGAATGTAATTCAATGTTGGAGAGACAAAATCTACCTCATAATAGAGTAAGGACCAGACAGAGGGCTATGGTTTTCTGCCTTGGAAATTCTTAATGCCTCAGAGGTAAAGAATAGAACCTCAAAGAAAAAATGATAACTATGCCCAGCTATTAAGAACGTAAAAAAGAAAATAGTTGGAAAAATTACCTAATATTTTGAACCAAATGAGTAGATAAGTGTGGACAATAAAGTCAATCCCATATCGGTCATCCAGATGGGCCTCCGAAATGACCTTTGAGGTTTGGTTCACTTGCCCAAGCTGATAATGCAGGAGAGTAACACTTGAGAAAATGTCATTGGATATCCTAGCAGATAGCACCCTCTCAAAAGTCAGAGGTTGGGAAACTGCCAACAAGCTGCACAGGACTATGGGCTTATTGTTTGGAGATGCATGACTTGTAAGACAGAGGAGGGATTTGCTCTGTAACAACCTTTGCCTGAAGTTACTTCCTGAGACCATTTGCAATTGCCCCACACAATTCGCTTCTATTTCATTACCAAACGGGATGCTGCAGAGGACTAATTGAGAAACCAGAGCTCACAGATCAAGTAACAGAATCTTAAAATTGAAAGGAATTCAGAGGTCTATTCTTACCCTTTACCCAATGGCCGAGTCTGCTCTAAAACAATCCCAACATGTGGTCACCTATCCAGCTTTTGTTTGAATATCTTCATTGCTGCAGAACCCACTATATTTCAAAGAAGTTGTTTCTATATATTAGAAAGTTCCCTCTTTTACTTAGTTGAACTCAATGTTCCTATAGCTTTCTGGAACCATAAAGTTAACCCCACCCATATCAAGGCAAAAGAGGGGGCTGGGGTTGTAGCTCAGTGGTAGAGCACTTGCCTAGCATGTGTGAGGCACTGGGTTCAATCTTCTCAGCACTATATATAAATAAAACAAAGGTCCTTTAACAACTAAAAAAAAAAAAAAAAGGTCAAGATAGGAATTAGGCTAGTCTAGACCTTACAACTTCGTTCAACAATGTTTGTGCCAGTGGTGCTCACTGACAAGCCGAAATGTTACTGGTACGGCAAAAAGGTGGCGGTGGGAGGAGGTGAAGAGAATCAGGAAACCAGTATCTAAGTTTATATACACATTGGCATATATTGCCTATCCTCAGTCTAAACACAAATTTGTCTACTTCTGAAATATTTTAAGTTATTTTCTTTTCTAAGTTATTTATTTTAACAAGTTGATGAAAGAGAAAGATTTTATGCAGAACTATAGTGATAGAAACAACTTTAATAACTCCAAACCAGTGCAGAAATGAAGGAAGAAACAGCCAAGTCAAACTGTCTTGTTTTTAAAGATTAACATTGAATATTAAACACCAATAAGATATGTAGTTCATGGCCATTTTACATCTGCCACATCTAAAAGAACAAAGCTGAGGGGAAAGAAAGTTAATTTTGCCATTTGTGATAGCCTTCTGTTTATTGTAGCAATATGATCTTTGAACCTCTACCCTCCTAGACTTGTTTAAAGGCTTAAGATATCCCAAGATGAACTCACAATTTTTTACCTCTCTTATTTATCAGACTTTGTTTTCACCTCCTTGCACTCAACTTAAGCACCCACAAAGAAGCTTATTGTTGACAGTTTTCATTCCTAGATCCTGGAAAGAAAATTGACTCTATCCTAGCCATTTATATAACACCCTGGGGAGTTCATTCCCAGTAATTCATAGACTATGGTATTGGCAGGCAAGATTAAAGTAAAATAAATGAAACTGACTAAACACACACATACAGGAATGGGTGAGTGTATATTTAACTACATTCATTTTATCTTTATACCTCTTTCCTCAGCAAAGTTAAGCTTCCAATTATAAAATAAGACAAAAAGGAGATAAACTACTTACACTCAGACAGTGGTTTGAGGATAGTCTGGCTTTTGACATCCGACTCTACAATTTCAATAGCTCTCCTATAAAAAATTTTTTTCTAAAATTAATTTCATCAGAGCCAAACTAAATACCACACCAACCACCAAGCTCAAAAGCAGGCACATTAACTAAAAACATGTTTTAAAAATTTAAAGCCCCCAAACAAAACTAGGTTATGTCTCAGCTAAAGGGGATTTAATTGCCTTGAAATAATTCATGGACCAGGGATTTGAGAAATTTCAACACACTACATGGTTCCTCTTTTAGATGCCAAGTAGGTCATCATACATTGAGCCAATAACATTTTGGAGGAGGAAAAATGTCATTGGTAGAAGAGAAGATATTAGTGTGGGTGACTAAGAAAACTAGCACCATCCATACACAGCAGACCTAAAAGGGGAGTCATGAGTTATATATACATAGGATATGTAAAGGCTAAATCATGCCAGCCTACATGAATGTTGTTCATAGCTATAGTCTTCACTCAAGTAGTTTGCTGACTAGGGAAACTTTTAAATTCAGGATCATGCAATCTAGCAATAGGAAGAGCTTACTCTCCCACTGCTCTCTCCAAAGTGCTTTGCCCACAGGAAGCCATAAACCAGACCTGGATCTTCTGCAAGGCAGTAGGGGGAGGTTGGACCAGAGGGCCAGCACAGCAAGTATCATTTTAATGGACCCAGTGTCCCTACTGGGAGGGAAGAAATTTCATCAGTCAGCACAGAGGCTTTCCCCAGCAGGAGAGGGAGGGGGATGGGAAAGGAGAAAGGTCTGGAATACTGTGGGGGACTACCAACTGGAGGGAAGAAAGGGTGCCTACAAAAGGAAAGAAGGGGAAGAAAGTCTAAAGGCAAAGATGGTTCAGGTCCATAAATAAACCTGCTTGAAACCAGCTAATGGAAAAGTAAACTGGAGTCTTTTTTAATACAAATGTAATTAACCAATCTATAATCACCACAGGGAGTGCCAGCAACATCTCATTTGTTTCTCCCTCTGTAGGTAATGGACTGATAATGTTTCAGACATTAACACGGTGGAAATCCAGAGCTCCCCACTGAGAAACAAGTCCTCTTTTCTGAGTATAGAAAGTAGCAGAATGGAGCCTCTTAAGCCACATTCACTTGAGTTACATGAGACAATTAACAGCCATTTCTAGATTTCTTTAAATAAAAGCAGCCTACAGTGCCATAACTCACCTGCAAACATCTAGCGCTTTTCGAACATCTCCTGAAACAGCGGAGACTTTGCGGGCACAGAACTGAATTGCAGCATTGTCCAGAACCTGATCTCCAGACACCTTTAGACGAGACATAGAAGACAATTTGAATCTCTCTGCAGTTTAGGTTCTAGATGTAAATATTTTCACAATTAAGACCAAACCTGATTGGTCTCCTACCCTCCTACCCATTAGGAGATGTCTTTTCTATTTGTAAATAAATGAAGATATTTCAGTCTTCACATATTTTAATCAGAACATAAATTGGCAAAAAAAAACCAAAACAAAACAAAAAAAACAACCCCACAAAACTATTTAGTCACTTTCAGAAGAAAATTTTTCATAGGCCCTATTTATAAAGGTCATTAAAGAAGCATTTGAGTGGCTGGGCATGGTGGCATGCACGCCTGTAATCCCAGCTACTCAGGAGGCTGAGGCAGGAGGATTGAGATTTCAAAGCCAGCCTCAGGGCTAAGGTTGTGGCTCAGTGGTCGGGTGCTAGACTAGCAGGTGTGAGGCCCTGGGTTCAATTCTCAGCACCACATATAAATAAATATCTGTTGACAACTTAAAAAAAAAAAGTGTATTAAGAGATTTAAAAAAAGCTAGCCTCAGCAATTTAGCAAGACCCTAAGTAACTCAGAGAGACCCTGTTTCTAAATAAATAATAAAAAGGGCTGGGGATGTGGCTGAGTGGCTAAGCGCCCCTGGGTTCAACAGGAACTAGGGAGTTCCAGAAGAAAATAAAAAGCATTTGAGTGAATTATTTCACTTCTTTTATTTCAACACTGAAGATCCAATAAATGGAGCTATAAACGGAAATTCACACAAAAATATTCCCACTATGGGTCCATAGGTTTGCCCCATACCATTAGTAAAGCAATCAAAGCAAAATAATTTAGAACTACAGTTAGGTTTCCTCAACAAAGGTCATCTGAGGAACAAAATTTGGCATAAGGGTTGGCACTCACTTGATTAAGTCGATCCTGTAAGATTGCGGCTATCTGGTTTCTGGTATAAGGTGGGAAGTTCAATAGCTGTGGCTTACATTTTTCTCTAGCTTCCAGCCTTGGCAGAATTCTGTCTGTGAGATCCAGGGTATTAGCAATACCTGAGGAGGAGATAAGAAGCATCATCAGTCAGATCATCTGAAAAGAAAAACGAAACCTCTGAAAGATAAACACTTCCACTTATAATCTAGCATTCAATTGTTGCTTCCCACCTGCCTTCCTCCCCATTCCAAAGCTAAAATATACCTATTAGATAGGATATATATATATAGATAGATAGATAGATAGATAGATAGTTAGTATAGAATGGTCTTTTCAAAGTAGGGTCAGAATTATTCACTGATAAGCAGGACCAAATAAATTTTAAAAATCTATTGTTTCTAAAAATAAAGTTTTATGTCTTATTAATAGGTGGGGATGGGTGTGCTAGGGTTTGAACCCAGGCCCTTGTGCATGTTAAGCACACACTCTACCTCTGAGCTACACCTCCAGCCCCTAGGTCATTTTTATTTGTTTATAACAGAAAGGGTATTGCCATGTTACCCAATTGTCCCTGAACTTTTGATCCTCCTGCCTCAGCCTCCTGAGTACCTGAGACTACATATGCCATCATAGCACCAGCTCCTAAGTCATTTTTATTCAGACTTAAAAGTAATTTACCTTAGATTAAAATTACTAGCAAAAGCTGGACAGATTTATTTATTTATTTTGCAATATAGGTATTGAACCCAGGGCCTCACACCTGCTAGGCAAGTACTCTACCACTAAGCTACATGCCTAGTCCAAAGTGAATGAAGCTAAGATAGGAAGACAACAAGTTTGAGGCCAGTCTCAGCAATTTAGCCAGGCCATAAGCAACAGAACCTGCCTCAAAATAAAAAATTATAAGGGCTGGGGATATAGCTCAGTAGTAAAGCATCCTTGAGTCAATCTCCAGTATTGGAAACAAACAAACAAACAAACAAACAAACAAAAACCCAAAAGTTTCAGAACCACCATGTAACATTAACAACTAAGAACTAACCAATAAGCACTAATCGAGAATTGCTCAGCCATGGCCATTCAAAGAGTGTGTATAATACATCCTGCCCTTTGGTGTCCAGTTGATCCATCTCGTCCAACACCAACACACTATATAGAAAGAAAAACAATTAGCATCCATAGTTACTTTCTTAAACCTTCAATCTGTTTGATTTGGACTAATTTTATGTCACATTTGTAAAGTTGAGACAAGTTTGAAGACTGTAATTTATGTAAATCTCTAGTCACTCTTAGAACGAAACCTCCAACATCCCAGTGTTTTCAAGCAATTAGTTTTAAAAACATTTTTTCCAATTTAAAAAATTAGAAAGTGTACTTTTCTTTTTAGGTTTATGTAACTACCTCTTCTTATAGAGCAAACATTGTGAATATTCTTTTGGTAAGCAATAGACCTTGCAGATTTTCACTGAGCAATATGTAGCAGAGAAATACTTACATCATGGGGCCCTTCTCTGTAGTCATATGTTTTTCCAGTTTCTTCATCATGTCCTTCCCAGCTAGCCTGGATACTTCTTCTTGACAAATCTCCTGAGCAATAGCTGGGAATACAGCCTGGGCTTTCCTCAAGGACATGCAATTCAGCATGATAGTTTTAAAGCCTTTTACTTCCTTCTAGAAAAAAAACAAACAAAAATAAAAAACTTGGCAGTTATTTTGGCTTCAGATAAAGATTTGATGAAATTTGAACTATCTTTGAGAGATAATAGTATATAAGAGAGGAAGTTCTACTTTCATGTGGAAAGATTTAGACAATGAAACAAAAAGGTCTTATTATTTTCAATCTCCTAAATGTTTGTCTTCCTGAACCCTTAATAACCAAGTATCGGGCTGGGGTTGTGGCTCAGTGGTAGAGCGCTTGTCTAGCATGTGTGAGGCACTGGGTTTGATCCACAGTACCACATAAAAATAAATAAAATAAAGGTCCATTGACAACTAAAAAAAAATTTTTTTAATATATATATATTTTAGTTGTAGTTGGACATAATACCTTTATATTATTTATTTTTATGTGGTGCTGAGGATTGAAAGGGCCCCGTGTGCTAAGTGAGCGCTCTACCGCTGAGCCACAACCCCAGCACCCTAAAAAACATAAATAAATAAATAAATAAAGGTATTGTATCCATCTACAACCACCATCACCACCACCACCACCAACAACAAAAATCCCAAGTATCATTTTAGCAAGAGCATCAACATTCAGATTCTCAATGTACCTTGAGGTCTTGCAGAATTCGGCTTAAACAGGCAGTTTTTCCAGTTCCAGGAGCACCAGAAAGGTACAGACTTCCAGCTTTTTTCCCACAGATGTGTTCCCTCAGGAAATTCCTGATAACATCCATTTCCTTTTCTCTGGCAGGCAGCCGATCTGGGACAGCTGTATTCAGGACAACCTTTGCTTGTCGGTAGCAAGTACCTACATCAGACATAAAAAGGACAACTAGACACAACAGAAGGTGACTGAAAAAAACTCACTGAGCTTCATCTGAAGTCATCAGCTTTGTTTATAACAGCTGCACTAACAGCTGCCATGTAAGAACGCACCTTCTTGCTTGAATAATCTCAAACGTGCAGAGTCTTTCTCCATTGGACATTTCTGTTCAGAATTTGTTATGATCTCCTGATCTTTTTGAACTGAGGGAAGTATTTTATTTTGATGAATTCTGGCTTGTTCTCTTTTGCTAGGAGACTTAACTGTCAGCTGATTGTCAAATACCAATCTCCGTCCCTTAGGTGTATGTGAACGAGGGGGGCTATTCTCTTTCTTGCCTTGCTTTGGTGGAGAACAGGGAGATAAATGGGGAGTGTTGCATAGGTTGTCATCACCTGAAACATTAAAATCAAAACATGGTCACTCACAGCAGTAGATAGTGAAAAGAGAGGAGAAACCACAAAATAAACATCCTTCTCACCTAGAAGCTAATACTGGCCACAAGATGGCGTCGCTGAATCGTATTATTTCATAGAAATCAAATGAGTTCTAATGCAGTAAAATTCTAAAACTGTTCTAAAAAACAGGATTTCTCAACCTTGGCATCATTGACATCTTGGACCAAAGACTCATTTGTTGTGGAGAGAACGTCATGTGTATTATGGGATGCTTCGCAGCACCCCTGGCTTTTACTTATTATGCCAATTGCACCAAGCTCTGATAACCTAATCACACCCCATTAAAAACAAATGCTCTGGGGCTTATGGTGCACTTGCCAAGTATGTGAGAGGTCCTGGGTGCCAATCAATGTTCTAAAATAAGAAAAGGTCTGAAAATATTAAGAACATGACCCATTTGTTTCTCTTGATTTCACAATATGAAGGCAAATTTCATAATACCATATAACTGCAACAAAATTGAAAACAATGACAGAACTAAGTTCAGTATTAGGTAACTGAAGACCAGATCTATTAAGTAGTTCAGAAAGTGATCTCAATAAGTGGCTTAACTCTGAAGTTCAGTAAGCACTTAGTAACCATTTTGCTTGCACCAAATCTTTATTTTATTCTGAAAATAAATAAAATTTATAGAGCAGACTGAACTGAACTTAGGAAAGTCTTTTGAAGGACAGGCATCTTATCACCGAGAAAAGAAAGGTTGAGAGCTACTGGTCAAAAAGCTGTACTCATACAAAGGAAAGCTTACCTAGACGTTTTCTAGGGCTGAGAGGCAGACTCTTTACACCAGAAGAGGGTATAGCCTGGACATTTGTTGGTTGTAGTTTAGTGTCACTAGAGTTTTTGGTTTTGTTCAAAGCCCGAGATAGCTTCTTTTTGGGAAAATTGATTGTAGCCTGTGCCTGGGATCTGGTTTGAGGCATGATGGCAACACAGCAGGATTCAAAAAAGAACAGAGCAGCCTGTAAATGTGTTAAAGAGAATAGAAAATAACTAACATGGAATTTATTTATACCTATGATCAACATTCATTTCATAAGTAAATTATGTTATAATATTTTAGCATTCTGCTTCACACTCAAATCTATGCAATAACAGCTAACAGTGTTGCCTACCTAGTATGTGTAAAAGGTTGTTATAAGCATTTTCTCATATTAACTCATTTAAGTTTTACAGCTACCTAAGAGGTAGGTACAATTATTATCCCCATCTAACAAATGGGACAACTGAGATGCACAGAGGCCCCAAATCACAGGAAAACAGGGATTAATTAATCCCAAGCATTCTGGCACCAGCCCACTTTCTTATTCGCTAGAGCGACCCAATAAGTTTATTTTCATTTACAGTACTTCTAATCTCCTTACTCCAGGCATGCGGGGCATCTTCATCTGAGCCCATAACCGCCACCCTGACAGTCCTGTGCCCTGACAGCACAGCTCGGTCTTCAGTCCGCTCTTGGACTCGGTAGTCCTAACTCCACACAGTCCTCAATTCTGGAACATTTCCTTTCTACAGTTTTCAGTTCCTTACATCACGCAGCACTGCCAGAACCTTTCCACCATTCCGAGGGCCCACATCCCTCTTCCTAGGGACGCCGACCTCAGACTTGCTGCGATCTCAGATCTCCTCAACTTTACCTGGGGCCTCGTGGGAGCCCGCAGCCCTCTTCCAACCCGCTGGCTCCCAGACCCCAGGCATCACCGGGAAATCCTCTCCTTTCCACCCCTCAGGGATACGTCACCTCAGTGCAGGTTCCTTCTCACGTCTCACACGGCCTCAGGGACTCTCTACCACAAGCTCCACACAAACTACACACCAGCAGTAGAAAAGTCAGCTCGCGCCAAATCCACACAGTCGCAGCATTCCCGCTTCGCGCTAAAGCCCAGCCACGCTTCCCATTGGCTGACACCGCCGCGCCACGAGCCTTGGCCACCACCCCTTCCTTCGTGTCCAATCCAGCTGGAAAGCCTACAGCCAATAAGACGGCCCCAGGTCTCAGAGCCAACGCGAGACCACACCCATTGCCGGAGAGGGCATGTGCATCCGGGGCTTCCACGGAAAGGCGCGCGGTGGCGGCGGATGCGGTTCTAGTTAACCCGCCAAGCCGCAAAGCCCGGCGGGGAATGTAGTCTTTGCCCCATGAGACTCTATTTCCGCGTTCTTCTTTGGACTACAGGTATTAATATGTCGTTGTCCTTATCACTGCCAGACGTATCCATTTTCATTATCCCAATGTGTTAGATTTTCAGGGTAACACTACATAATACCTACCATTTTGGGGGCGGTTCTGTATGCCAGGAATGATGCTAGCATTTTAGTCACCTCTAATTCAGTTCTGCAAGGCATGAAATAAAGGAGTGCACAGGATTAGAGGCCACACCATCTTAGTGGCAATGAAGAGCCTTGGACTCTGATGTCCTGGCACCTAAACTGGTATTTTTTGGTAAAGTTTTATACGTGGCTTCAACACAGTATCTTTTGTGCTTCACAAGTGAGAAGTAGTTATCCCAGCGCTTTACTTCTGTTCAGGATAAGAATATTATACCCTGTGCACCTTCTTATCATTAATCCACACATGTGGGGAATGGAATTATGTCCTCTTAATATTAAAATCTTCTGTGGCCAAACCCTGGGGTTTCAGGGCGAGGAAAGACAGTTATAGAGGAGGCAAGTTGAGCATTTAATGAACAATATAAACTAGAGCAGTAATTTGAAGGTCAGCTTACAAAGCTAATAAATAACCCATCTAAGCCTCAGGTTCCTTTAAAGGCCAGAACCCAATTCTAAGTGATGATAAACATTTATCTTTTACCCTGCAATATCAAATAGAGCCTTTTTATAAAGCTGAGAAATAGGAACACAACAATATGATTGTTAGTTAATTGTTAACTTAGTTCATATAGATGAGTCAATACAGAAAGCTTAAGTATATGCTAGGGACTGAACTTGGTATTTTACCAACTATCAGCTTATTAATCTTCACAAGCATCCACAGAATTGGTATTTCCATTCTATAAATGGGGAAACCAAGATATAGAGGGGATTGCATAAGCCTGTCCAATGTCACACAACTACCAAGTAGAAGAGCCAGAATTTGTACTGACAGGAAATCAAATTTTTGACCACTTAGTCATAGGAGTAAGGTTAAACAGATGCAGGTTCTAAATAGGAAGCGATGGTGAAGGAGCTTTCTAGCAGCTAAAAACTACAAAACACAGGCTTCCATGAATGGAAAAAGAGCAACTAGAATGCTTTCTGATCAGATGGTATTTCTGACCTAACAGAATAACAGAACCCAGGATGCACCTTCACTATTCATATTTTTAAAACCTGGGCATCTAAAACTTGCCATTAATAATTGCCAGCCTTGAGAGATTTGGGTAAACAACTACATTCACAGTAGGAGAGAGCAGAACTTAAGTACGTAAAGTGCATATTGGAGCTGACGAAACCACCACAAAATAACAGCATTGGCCAAAGAAAAGTGACTTGTCCCCGGTGGAAGCAGACAAAAGTGTCACAGAATGTCAGGACTGAAAAGTTTCTAAAAGATTATCTACTTGAAGTTCTCTCTTTTCACTAGTAATGAACCTCCACTAACATTATGCACACAACCGTCAGTGTCAATCGCTTCTCTCTCTTGCTGTTCCTACTGTCTGGAATGCAACTCACCATCCTTCTGTGCTAAAGACTTTTAATACACTTTAGAAGTTTCTCAGCTGCCTTTATCTTTTACTAGACTGTAGGATCCTTGGAGGCAAAGACCATGCTTTATTCATCATCATTGTGGTTGTCTGGTACAGTGAAGTACACAATAAATGTTTGCCAAATGAAAAGGACATTCTTACCAAGTAGATATCCACTCTTTGTGTGAAAATTGTGTGTGTGTGTGTGTGGTTGAACGGCATATTTGTAGTCCTCTAAATATCACACCCCAGCTGGGCACAGTGGCATACATCTCTAATCCCAGGAACTATGGAGGTTGAGACAGGAGGATCCCAAGTTCAAGGTCAGTCTCAGCAACTTTGTGAGACCCTAAGCAACTCAGCAAGACCCTATTTCAAAATTTAAAAAAACAAATAAATAAATAAAAATAAAAGGGCTGGAGAAGTAGCTCAGTGGTAAAATGCTCCTGGGTTCAATCCTCAGTACCAGTAAATCAATCTCACATCCCTAAATCTAGGAGTGAAAAAGAAATTCAATTATGTGTAAAAGCAATCCAGATTGGGCTTCAGTGATGTCAAAGGTGATGCCCTTCTCCAAGTTATCTTCTGGGACTCTTCAGGGTCCTGAGGTTAATATTTCAGTTCTCTTACCTCTGTCTGCAAAGTAGGAATCAGAGATAGGCAACTTCCTTCCAGTGAGCTAGTTCATGGCTAGACTGGGTCAGGAAATACTTAAGAGGCACATTCAAGGCAAGCAGCTTTGCCTTGGTAGTAATTAGAGTGAACAAACTGGTGTGCTTATCACTTCACTCATACACAGTATCATGGAGGAGGAAACAAAGTGCACTGGAAGGACCTGTCCAGCATCTGCATACAAGCAATACCACCCAGTGAGGCAAAGAAAGCTTATATGGTTAAGAAGTTGAGAGTCACTTAGGCAAGCTCCATTTGCAGTCAGGAAGAACAATTAAATCAATAAATAGGTAGTTTATTAATCATATTAATAACAATGATGGGTCAAATAATCAGGAATTCAGCCAATCTGGTAGGTATGGATGAAAATGAAATGAGTCTTTTTGTTCCCTCCCTCCCCTCACCCTCCTCATAGGTTTTTATACCTAAATTATGTGAGAGTGATTCATACACACACCCATTATGATTCAATATAGGAAATGATTTCAAGACCTTTGCTAGTAATGAAAGTTCAAGTTAAGCTCATTAAACCTTAGAGGTTATTATATCAGCTGACCACAGTAAGCAAAAATGTCTGGTTGAATTTTTTTACACCTAAAATCAAAGTTAAAAAAAAAACCAAAACAAACAAACAAAAAAACCCACACCCAGCTAAGATTTCAGCTTAAAAAGCAGTGAGGAAAACAACCAACACCCACATAAGAATGTACACATGAACCTAAATGCTCTGCCCGCATCTTTTCTTCCACTGTCAATTTGAGAATCAGACATACAACACAAGTAGAAAAAATCATAAGGGATACAAGGAAAGGACATAAGGTCAGGGGGCCTCCTGGGTTCCCTGAAATCATGGGCAAAGAGTGGTTCAGTAGCAAATGTGTATGTGTGTATATATATATATATAGACTGTCAGGTTCTCCTAGTCAGCACAACTAACTAGAACTGCAATTTCAAAACATGTGGAAGAGGAGAGAAAACTCTCAGGAAACCACAGATGCTGCTTCTGCTTAAGTCAGTACATCTACTTTCTCAAGTGACATGGAATCAAACCATCACACTTACCCATAATATGAGGCAATAGGTTTTTTTCCCCCTCTCTATGTCACCACTTGTGATGGTATTCCAGACAAGAGTACACAGTTTTCAGTTTTTGCTTTTAAGCAAGGTTTAATTAAACTGCACAGCATTCAGAAGAAAGAAATGTACCAAAGAATTGAACCTGAGACCAGATTATACATTTTAGGGGGTAAGGGGAAAAAAAAAGAATCAGTGCTATTTGGGAGAGGGAGCACTATAATCAGAATATATCTCCAAAATAAATCATACAATAAATTATTTTTTAAAGAAGTGGATCCACATGTAGATGGGATGGTCACATACACACACACATGCACACACACATCATTCTAGTCTTTTATTCAGTGTTAACTGTGACTTCCATGTTGGTCACTGTGGAAAATGACAAAGGTTAGACATGAGAAAAGAAGGCTAGGCACTCTCTGCCATCAGTGGAATGAGATTTAAGATAATTAGAGAAGGAACCCACCAAGTTGTCACAAACAAGAGTAGAAAGTAGGAAACAGCAGTTATCAAGGAAGATTTTAATTACTTCAGAGGGAAAGGAAGAAAGCACAGAAATCTAACACAAGTAAAGGCACAATGAACGTGGAGTTGAATGGAACCAAACCCTTCTTTCAGTCAATTATCCCTTTTTCATTTTTTGCATGTGATTTTGAAGGTGGTTATAGTTTTGTTTAATTTTGTTTTTAAGATATAAGTCTTGAAGGCAGAGCTATAATGCTCACCCCCCCTTTCCCTCCCATTCCCTAAATTAGGGTGGCTTAACAGAAAGCCACCATGACTACATAACTAGGGACTAATATTCAACAGGGAGAGAAAGACTACAACTGGAATGTGAAGAATCTGATTTTGCAGTTGATTGTAGGTTGGGTTTCCAGGACAGCTCAGTGTAGTGCCATCAAAGGGCCTCTGATCCCCTATACTCCACCCCCAGAGCTTCACAGAAAGGAAGGACCCTGGAGTAACACTTCTCCCCCACTCCCATAAGCACTCAGCCTACAGATTATTTCAAGTGATCAGGAGAATTAAAACACACCCCAACCCTGAGTTGCTCTGTAGCAAGTCTATTTACATTTTTTTCTCACCTCTTCCTGGAGGTAAATCTGGGTTTCAAGCTGAGAAGCCAAAGGGGTGAGGGGAGTCCCCCAGTGCAATGGCCTGTCTCCTTGCCTTTGCCAGTTAAGAGGGCTGGGACAAATTCCTGGAGACAGCAGCCTCATGTCTATCAGCTGGTATAGTCCTAGGCTCTTACTCTGCTGGCGTAGGCTGTGAAAATGGTGGGGCTATGCAGCTGGATCAAATCCCATTGATGAAGAAAACCATACCTGGAATATCAACATGCCTTGGTCCAGGTTTGGTGACCAGAGAGGGGGAAGACAGGCATCTAGCTCATTTAAAAACCTGGAGGTCACTGCCCTGCTTCCTAGAAAGGACAGTAAGAAACAACTATTACGTTTTTCCCACTAAGGAAAAACATCATAAAACCAAGCCCACACAATCACTGTTAACACAGCTTCTCAGATGCTTAGTTGGGCAATGTCTCTTCCCTCCAGGAATGGAGAAGGGAGTTAATGGGGACTGGGCTATAGCCTCAACATGAGACCACCTGATCTTTGACATCCCCATGAGCAGATAAAAAGAACAGTTTTAAAGGTGAGAAGTTTTAGTGCTCTTGCAGCTAGCCCACCTTAAACCTATATTACAAGCTCTGTACAACATACAAAATAGACCAATAATTATGAGGATCACATTCCCATCTTCAATAGCAAATATACATGATAATAAATCTGTTATTAACAGTGGGAAGAAATAATGTATAAGGCAAAGATATTTAAATAGGTGCTGTGTCATTAACATGTTCCAAAGGAGAAAAGCCATTTGATTAGATCCAGACCCAGGCCTTTTTGTTTTTCATGAGGCCAAGACAGTTAAAGTACAATCAATATCCATGTGACACAGTCCAAATGCTGAGGAATATGAGTGGTAGCAGGTCATGGGGAGGAAGATATCAGCCCCAATGAAAAGTTGCGGTTTGGTTTTATTTGTGATTCTTATTTTGATGCTCTATGTATGTTTGAATAAAGGAAAAAGAAAAACACACTTTGATAAACACTGTACAAAAGGCATCAACTCCCATTTCAAAAATAAATGGGAAGACTTCACAGTCAAAGTTCAGTAACTTGTCAGCATCTATCCTGGAACTCTGCTGCAGTAACAACTCTTGTACTCTCCTCTCTCTCAGCTCTAGTCACTTCAGGATGCTGGGGAAATGTCTGGGAGGTAATTGCTAACAGATTTAAAAAGAAGCATGATAAATAATAATTGAAAAAGTCTGGTGACAGACCTAATCATGAGAGTCTATATCCAGAGTTAATGTGGTCTAAGGTATGGCAAAGGACAGAGAGACTCCAAACAGATAACCCAAGTTAAGCCCTCCTTCACCTACCATTGAGAAGATTTGGGTTTCACCTGACATCATGCTCAGATCCTTAGTTTATGATCTAATGGATTAGAAAGGTCCCTGCAGCATTTCAAGCCTGTGATGTTTCAGAAGAGGTTTTTAAATAGTTTTCCCCCTTCATTTCAAAAACAGCCTGGTCTCCCTGCTCTCATGCCAAGTTTTGAGTAGCCTCTATATATGGCAACAACTGTAGCAAACCAATCCATCTGGTGTGTGAAGCCCAGGAGCCCCAACCTGTTGTTGGAGAAGGGAAAGTCACTGTCCCATCATCCAACCTCAGTTGGTCCCTCCATTTTCTCTATGCTCTTTTAATTAAGACCTGGAAGACAAAGAAACAACATATTGCTGGCTACCAAGGAAGACCTATCAGACTGAAGCACACTTCACACCAAAGTCTTTTGTGCTTCTTGGAATAAAGGAATTTTGAGTATCTCCACAAACTTCTACTCACTTCCTCACCCCTTTAACTCTGCTGCATTAGCCCCTGAAATCTTGGGAAGGTGAGGCTGGTAAAGAAAGGAATGGAAAGAGCTTTCTCAGTCAGATGGGCTGTGAACTTCAGCGTGAGCAGGCCATAAAGTCTTTTGCAGAGTGTTTTGCCCTTCCCTTCTTAAGTCATTCTGGAGCATGAAGGACTCAAAGGGCTAGGGTTAGTAAGACAAGACTGAGGCAGACTTGAAGTTGAAGTTAAGGCCCAGACCCTGTCTTCCTATTTCCTACCAGCAGTTTTTGGGATTTGTGAATCAGGAATGAATGATGCCCCTGACAAAAAGGAATTTTTCTTTTGAGGAGATGGGGCAGAACCCTTCAGCCTAGCACCCTGAGGAAAGGGGGCAGGAAGTCCTAGAGGACTCAAATGGCTCCTAGTCCCTTAGTTACAGAAGAACTGAATAGCTCTAAAATGATCCTCGGTTTACTTCGCCCTCTCATTTGATTAAAGTTTTAGTTCAACTAATTAGTATTTAGTGTTTATATCCAACTTACCCCTGGGATTGGGTGGTAGGCAGTGAGAACAAAACTGAAATACCCCTAAAAAATAAAGAAGACCCATTTCCTTGTCCTTTCTCCAAAGCTGACCTTTAAAACAGATCAATTCTCTGCAAACTCCTTTACTGCTTCACTAAAAATGCCCCCTCCCCTCCCACCAAAGTTCTGGCCGTGCCAGCCTCCTAAATGATGGAATATAATCTACCTGCCAAGCTCCCCCCACAGTGGATAAGGGCAGATAAGGGTACCAATCTCCACCCTGCCCAACAATGAGTTCATTCACCACAACAAGGCACCTTTCCCCAGAGGAGAGCAGGAGACATGGAGGCTTTCTCCTCTTCTGGCCAGCAGGGTTTGTTAGAGTAGGGATGGATACAGAGTTTGAGACCCTACTGCCGACGCAAAGAGTCCAATCACCAAGTCCAGAGATGAGATGCATAGATGGAGGTGAGCTGGAAGGATGCTTGGAGTCTAGGATTGTTTGCACAGGAGAAACATGTTAGGAGCTCTCATGCAGGTTTCAGGGGAATGGAGAGGACCATCTGACAAAAAAAGGAGGTCCATCCTTTTTCCTGAGGAACAGGACCAAGCCAGACTTCACCTGAGAATGGGTGGCAGAGGTGGGGCTCCACGGGCAGCTGAAAAAATAAAATAAAAAGACTTTTTAAGCTAATTTTTAAAATCTGGGGACTAGATTGTCTTCTTGTTTTGCTTTGTTTCTTTTAAAGAAAATGAAGATGAGGAGAAGCAGATTTTTGACTTAAGAAAACAGAAAAATTCTATATTCTATGCAATTATGGAAAAACTTTCTTTACTACTTCTCTTACCTCGGTTTGTTTTGCTGGGATATATTCTCTGAAAATGTTTATATTCTTCTGGAGCAGGAAAATCTTCTACTGGGTGAAAAGAATACTTTGATTCAAAATCATCTGCGAAAAGAACAGAGTATTACCTCATATTGAACTTCTCTTGCTCCACAGACCTCTGACTTATGAGCCCCCCTTACTAATCTTTAAATGCACTCTGACATATGGAGGGCCTGCCTTGCCCATCTAACCAAGGTTCTTAAAGACAGCAAAAGCAGCACCCGAGGTGGCTCCCATGCACAAACTTGATTATTTTAAGGAGCAAGTCTTTGAGCTGATTCTTCAAAATTTCCCATCAAAAATCAGGCAAGAGGGCTGGGGATGTGGCTCAAGCGGTAGCGTGCTCGCCTGACATGCGTGCAGCCCGGGTTCGATCCTCAGCACCACATACAAACAAAGATGTTGTGTCCGCTGAAAACTAAAAGATAAATATTTAAAAAAAAAAAATCAGGCAAGAACAGGAAACTGCTTCCAACTGTTTGCATGGAAGCAGAAAGAAACAAGAATTCCAAGATTCAATAACATGGTCATTTTATAGATTGTCACCATGGGAAACTACCTGAATTGAATCTACAAATTACAGAATTAACCTCAAATGGTAATATTTTTCTGCAGCTTCTGAGAGATTTGACCACATAGTTCCCTTTCAGCCTAGGTTACCCTCATTTAGTTCTGCAACATACTTGAGAGAGCCACCTCCTTGGTCCCACTACGACTTTCTACGGCCCTCCACAAGAAGGCTCAAATTTCCTATAGGTGCAGTTTAATCACATTACAAAGATTTTTTCATTATGGATGTGTGTTCAAAGCAAACACCTGGTGCATTTAATAGGAACAGACTGAAACATGGGGGATGTGGGCAGGAGGGAAGAAAACAACCACTAAGGAATCCAGAGTGCTAGGGCTACAACAGAGCTTACATAAGCTCTATTCCAGGGGTCCTCCACAGAGGATAAATAATATTCTCTGGACCACATTTTCTATGACTCCATTCCACAACCAGAATCTTTTAGGTAAGGGGTCCCAATACTTATAAACTTGGTAAAGTTAATCTGGTGATTTCCTGATCTAATCAATCTCCTTGCTATACAAATAATAGAAATGAGGCCTAGAGAAATGAAGTGACTTCCTCAAAATGACACAGCTAGTCAGTCAGTGATCTCTGCTGATCAGATAAGAGTTGGGTGATGTTTTTTTGTTTGTTTGTTGTTTGTTTCAATACTGGGGATCAAAACAGAGTCTTGGCATACTAAGCTTGTTTTATTTAGTTTTGGGGTACTGGGGATTGAACCCAGGACCCTGCACGTGCTAAGGAAGCACCACCGCCGAGATATACCCCAAGTCCCACTTGTTTAGTTTTTACACAGCTAAAAGGAGCTCTTCCTAGGATATATAATTCTTGTCTGAATGATCTTAAAGAGGAACAGCCTCTGCCATGAAAACTAACCATAAGTAATGATCCTTGGGAGGACTTGAGAGGAGCTTTAGAGTTAGCATGACACCTGATTATATTTCAACCTATTCCAAAGCAACCATGCCTAGAATTCACATAAGGAAAGGTATGTCAATGGATGGGGCATGAAAGTCTGAGGGTATGTGCCTAATAGAAGAAAAAGTAGGTCCCAATCTCCACCATGTCAGTTTAGGAACTGACTTCCTTAACAAGACTCCAAAAATGCAAGAAGTAAAATCAAGAATCAATAAACAGGATGGAATAAAACTAAAAAACTGCTTCACAGCAAAGGAAACAACCAACAATGTGAAGACAGACCCTATAGAATGGGAAAAATTCTTTACCACACGCACCTCCATATAGTATTAACCTCCAGGATACATAAAGAACTCAAAAAACTCAACACCAAAAAAAACCCCCAAATAACCCAATCAATAAATGGGTAAAGAAACTGAACAGACACTTCAAAGAAGAAGAAATACAATCGATCAACAAATATATGAAAAAATGTTCAACATCTCTAGAAATTAGAGAAATGAAAATCAAAACTACACTTCCATCTTTTTTTTTTTAATTTTTTTTAGTTGTTGATGGACCTTTTTTTATTTTTTAAACTTATTTGTATGTGGTGTTGAGAATCGAACCCAGTGCCTCATGCATGCTAGTTGAGCACTCTGCCACTGAGCCACAACCCCAGCTCCTACACTTCCATCTTATTCCAGTCAGAATGGCAATCATCAAGAATATAAGCAACAAGGGCTGGGATTGTGACTCAGCAGTAGCACATTTGCCTGGCATGTGTGAGGCACTGGGTTCAATTTTCAGCACCACATATAAATAAATAAAATAAAGATCTATCAACAATTAAGAAAAAACAATTAAAAAAAAAGAATACAAGCACAATTAATGTTGGCAAGGATGTAGGAGAAAAGATACACTCATATATTGCTGGTGAGACTGCAAGTTGGTATAACCATTATGGAAAGCAATTTAGAGGAGATTCCCCAGAAAACTTGGAATGGAACCACCATTTGACCCAGTCATCTCAATCCTAGGTTTATACGCAAAGGACTTAAAATCAACATTCTACGGTGACACAGCTCTATCAGTGTTTACAGCAGATCAATTCACAATAGCTAAACTATGGAACCAACAAAGTGCACTTCAACATATGAATGGATAAAGAAACTGTGGTATATATACACAATGGAATATTACTCAGCCTTAAAGAAGAATAAAACTATGGCATTTGCCAGTAAATGGATGGAACTGGTGAATATTATGCTAAGCAAAATAAGCCAACCCCAAAGTACCAAAGGCCGAATGTTTTCTCTGATATGTGGATGCTAAGAAGGGAGGGGAGAGGGTGAAGGTAGGAATGATAGTAGAATGAATTGGACATTATTACCCTATGTGCATATATGATTACAGACCCTGTAACTCTATATCATGTACAACTAGATGCATGAGAAGTTATACTCCATTTATGTATGATGTGTCAAAATGCATTCTACTGTCATGTATAACAAGTAGAATAAAAAAAAATTTTTTTTAAAGATTTAGACATTAAAAAAAAATGATTGAGAGTAAATGTCAGAAAGGAACTGCTGTAAACAAAGATTATCTTGTGGCCATTCCCATTCCACACTAGCCATCTGGCAGCCAAGACACTGCAGTCAGTGAAGTAACCACAGGAACTCTGAGGCAAAACAACTAACTACTTACCCAAGAAAGATCGAACAGTGGTGATAGAATCTCTGTGGCCATTCCTCAGGGGTGGTGGAGGAGGGGGTGGCCCAGCTGGCGTCCTTGAGGGTGGAGGTGGGGGCTTTCCTCTGTTCAGGGGTTCTGACCCATGCATTCGGTATGGGGGTGGGGGTGGAGGAGCATCCCTGGCACCATTTCTGATCATGGGGGGCGGAGGTGGAGGAGCTGCAATTAAAATTCAAAGTAGTTAGGTTTGGGTGTTGAGCTGGCAAGGGGAAGGAGGATTTGAGAGACACGGCAAAAAGTGTCTTAGTGCTTTCCTGAATAACTGGGTGCTATGAGCCTCTCAGTAGCATGTTAAATATCATATTCACCTTCCCCCTCATGCTTATTTCTTGAATAGCACTGTCACTTTTCCAGGTATCAAAGTTTCAGACCTTTTTTAGTTTCCACAAATGAGTCAAGAATCCTATCTATTCTTGATGTCTTTCCCCTAGCTTTCCCATCCCTTCCTCCACAATTCTAATTCAGATCATCTCACATTTAGCCTGTTCTGCAAAAGCCTTCCAAGTATTCTCCTTGCATCCAATCTCTTACGGCTCAAATTTAACTTCCTAAAATACTTGCTTCAATCTTTTCAAGGCTTTTGCATCTTGTACAAAAGAAAGTTTCAAGCCCTTTGCTTAAATAGTAAACTACATCAGTAAGCCGGATCTCTTCTTTTCCTCCCTTCCTCCCTCTTTTCCTTCTTCCTCTTTTCTTTAGAAAAGAACCCAGCAGAGCTTTACTACTGAGCCACATCCCCAGCCCTTTATTTTTTATTTTGAATCAGGGTCTCACAAAGTTGCTGAGAGTCTTGCTAAACTGCTGAGGCTGGCCTTGAACTTGCAATCCTCCTGCCTCAGCTTCCCAAGTCTCCAGTATTATAGGAGAGCACCACCATGTCCAGCTCTTCTTTCTTAATTTCTACACTGGGTCAGGTGCCCCTCTTCTGCACTACACAGTGTATCCATACCACTCTACTATACTGCATTATAACTATTCATTATATGGGCTTCTTCCCTAGTATACTATGTACTCCCTAATGTCTGAATAGTTCCTTCTTCTGTGCAAATGTACAGCACATGGGAAGTATTCCATGTCTAATGAATAAACTGAATCCCTGTGTTGTTCTTGTGGCTCTCCCTGCAATACTCTGAAATCCCTCTTTCCTTAATACCAAGTCCTATGTTTTTTTTTTTTTTTTTAATTTGTTTTAGTTGTAGTTGGACACAATACCTTTATTTATTTTTATGTGGTGCTGAGGATCGAACTCAG